TATTGCGTATGTTGTTTGAACCACCGTGGGCGCGTTGGTGCTGCAGGGCCGCCCTGTTCGTCGCCTCCCACGCGTGCCTTGAGAAGGATGTTCTAAGGCAGTGGTTTGGGTCGGGTCGGCCAAACCATTACCTTCTTCTCGGTCGGTGTAATTCCTCTTCCTCCGCCTCTTCGTCCTCTTCCTCTTCGTCCTCTTCCCCCTTCTCATCATCACCCTGGTGAAAATATGATCCTCCTCCAGCCTATGATGGCGGTGGTGGAAAACAGGCCCATCAGTTGTCCTGGTGGCTGTCCCGATGGTCGCCCTGACGGTAGTCCCGTTGCTGTTCTCGGTGTTTCGCCCGATGGCTATCCCGATGTTGCTCCCGACGGTTAGTCCGATGGTTGCCCTGACGGTTGTCACGATTGTTGGTGCGATGGTTGTCCCGATGGTTGGCCCGATGGTCGTCCCGACGGTTGGCCCATCAACTGCCCCGACGGTTGCCACACCGGCTGTCCCGATGGTTGTTTCGAAGGTTGTCACGAAGGTTCTCCCAAATGTTGCCCCGATGGCTGTCCTCATTCTCTTCCTCCTCCTCCTCCTCCTCCTTTTTCCGTCTTCTCCTCACGCCCTTCCGTCCCCCCGTTCCGCCCAAGAGAACCAGCAACGAAAGGAGCGGGAGGGGCGACGTGGAAGGCGAAGGAGACGGAGGAGGTGGAGGAGGGTTTTTTTGTTTCTCCTCCCTCCCCCACTTCCCTTTTCCCTGATCCCGCCCCCCCCATCCCTCCTCATCATCCTTCCATCCCTCTTCCTTATATAGAATTCCTCCCTGTCGCACCCCGAGGCGGATCGGTAGGGTGGGCTGGGCGTTTCGCTTGGGATTCCCTCGCCACTGACGCTCCTGAAATTTAGACGTTGCAGCAGTTTCACGTGTCGAGGGCGGGTTGTTCTCAAAATGTGGTTCTCGCTTGGGCGTTGCGCACATTCGACCTAAAAGTGTGCAAGAGTCTCACGGATGGAGTGCGGGTGGTGTTCAATGTGTGGTTGCCGCTTGGGTGCCGCGTGCACTCGTGCCAAATCTTGCAAGAACGGGCGGTTTTCAAATGTTGTTGTCGCCTGAGCGACGCGCACATTCAGCGCAACAGCTTGCAACAGTTTCACGGCTTGGAGGGGTGGTTGTGTCAAAATGTGGCCCTCGCTGTAGCGCCGCGCTCATTCGCCTTCAAAGTGTGTAACAGTTTCATGGGTGCAGGGCGGCTGGTTTTCACATTGTGGCTCTCGCAGTAGCGCCGCGTGTGTTTGTCTACGAACCGATTACAGCAACTTCAAAGGGTTCGAACGGTTGATGTCCAGGACGCGGTTGTCACGTGGATTATTGGCGTTGAAGGCCCGGGAATATTGTGTTGCCGCGGCTCAGGGCCGTCAGGACATAGCAGTCGCGTTGATTCGCGGCGTTGAAATCCCAGGGTTGGTGGTTTGGCATGTTCGAAGATTTTCAGACGGCCGTCCGTAAAAAGGGCAATCCCCGCACTGAAAATCAATCTCTGCAGGGATCCATGAAGAGGTCAGCTGCTCTGATACGCACGTTTTGACACGTAACACGTGCCGTGTTCAAAACGTACGTGTTCAGTCTACGTGTTGAGTTCCGTATCAGTACGCTACGTGTTGCCTGGTGCGTATCGGGGCAGCTAAGATGAAGACGGAACTTGGAGGGAGGGTTTCTTGCAATTCGTTGACGGATCTGGGTTGTGCTCCAATTCCTCCTTCTCTTCCCTAGTCACAGTCCATCCTACTTTCTCCTTTTTCCCTCGCAAGCCAACAGAAACACCCGTTTGCGAGCTCTTTAGGACAATTTGGGGGCGGCGATGCCCAGATGCCTGCAGAGGTGAGGAATGAGTGTGTGCCTCCTCACTCGCAGCACCGCCGCCCGTCACCAGGCCGATCTTGTCGGCAAGCACCCTCGGCGAGCAGCGTGACCTTGCTGCCCCGGCGCCCGAGATTTGGGCGCGCCAAAACAGACCCGCGGCGGTTCGTTTTCTTCGCCGTCGTTGTGGCTGCCGTCGTTGTGGCAACTTTGCTCGCATGGCACGTGCCCCCCACAACACACACCACACACACATTCACACACACGCGCAGACCACACAAAACCCCTCCAACCCTGCTCAAACACGGCAGACGCGGGCAAGTGTGTCCTGATTTGAGTAAAGTCCAGACTATATACCGGGCCTCCCCACGCCCTCACCCACTTCATGCAAGCAACATTGCAATCATCTAATTGAAAAAAAAGGTTCAGATCTGGCGTTTCGACGAAAACCTAGACGGCCGGGGCTTCGCCGTTATGGCTTTCAGGAGGCCCGTGTCGGGCTCGACGCTTGTGTCTCGAAGAAATCGTGCCTCCAGGCCTCAGAGGAATCTCGCTTCCGGACTTCCTGGAGGAGCAAGGGGAGGACGGCAGATTGGAACGTGGGGAGTTGGAGGATTACCGATCGTAAGATGAGGAGGACGGCGAGGACGAAATCGTGATCGAGGAGCCGGGAGACCCGCCCACAGGTGCCACAGCAAAATTCATTTTTTGAAGTGAGACAGTGCACGCTGCAATTTTGTGTCGGCATGATCGAGATTTGGTGTCGCCCCACTGTCAGCATTGCAATCAGTCGCCACTGTATTGCGGTCGGTTGCGAAAGTCAGGATCATATCCTCGGCAGCGGCATTGGCAGTCCCTGTCACGCGAAGGCTTGCACATGCGGCGCGTTCCAGATAAGGCCTCGTCTTCGGCGTCTCCCGCCCTCGGAGGAAGTAAAACAGGCGACGGGTCCGATCGGCTCTCTTTCGGCGGATGGCGCTGGAAGCAGAAAATGAGGCGTCAACATCTTCTGGAGCCATGGGTCCTGGGATCGACCATGCACTTCCACAGTTCCCCTTGCGTTGCTTGGCCGTGCTGTGGTGAGGGCTGCCCCGTAGAAGACGTGCGGACTCAGAACCACGCTGTGGACCCCCACTTTGTGGCGTTCGGCCGCGTGCAGCTTTCAGCGACTGTGTACATTGACTTATAGCGTGGCAAGGTTGATGTATATCAGGGCCACCTTGAAATATTCATGTGTATATATATATATATGTATATATGTATATATATATATATATATATATATATATACATATATATACATATATATATATATACACATATATGGGTACAGGGCCGGGGGCCTTCTCCCAGATGCCGAGGGCCACCCTCAGAGCCGCCCAGACGGCCCTAATTGGTGCCACACAGACACCAGAAAGCTTCCCAATGTCCCGCGGTGCTTCCGGGCAACCCTAGATAGCTTCAAGACGGCCCAAGAGGATTCGACTTTCGTTCCCTAGAGGGCCTTAATAGGCAAACAGACACTGATCTCCCATGGTTTTTCAATGTTTCTGGGATTCTCAATTTTCGAGCTTCCGACGCTCCACGACGGCCCATGAGGCTTCCGAAACCGCCTCAAGACGGCCCAAGAGACCCCCAAGACCGCCCCAAGATAGGCCAAGAGGGACCCAACACGGCCCCAAGAGGGGCCCAAGACCGCCCGAGAAGAGCCGCCCAGACGGCCTTAGTGACGTCACAGTGACACCAGAAGGCTTCATAATGTCCCGCGGGGCTTCCAGGCAACCCTAGATAGCTTCAAGACGACCCAAGAGGACTCGACTTTCGCTCCCCAGAGAGCCCCAAGAGGCAACAAGAATTGATTTACCATGTTTTTCAATGTTTTTTTGGATTTTCGACTTTCGAGCTTCCGACGCTTCACGACGTCCCAAGAGGCCTCCTACACCGCCCCAAGACAGCCCCAGAGACCCCCAAGACCGCCCCAAGACGGGCCAAGAGGGCCCCAAGACGGCCTCAAAAGGGGCCCCCATGGCGGCCCAAGAAGAGCCGCCCAGACGGCGTTAAGTGGCGTCACAGAGACACAATAAGGTTGCGAGATGCCCCGCGGGCCTTCCAGACAGCCCCAGACAGCTTCAAGACGGCCCAAGAGGATTCCATTTTCGCTTCCCAGAGGGCCCCAAGATGCAAAACCATTGATTCACCATATGGTTTTTCAGTGTTTTGGGGGTTCTCGACTTTCGAGCTTCCGACGACGCTCCACGACGTCCCAAGAGGCCTCCTAGACCGCCCCAAGACGGCCCCAAAGACCCCCAAGACCGCCCCAAGACGGGCCAAGAGGGTCCCAAGACGGCCCCAGGAGGGGCCCAAGAGGGCCCCAAGAGGGGCCCACGAGCAGGAAACCACAAGGGCAATTCGACCCTTCGTCCCAAGATGCCCCCAGACGGCCCTAGAGGGCTCTCTGAGCGCTTCCCAGTGGGCTCCAAGGCAAATATCATTGATTTCCTAAAGTTTCTCCATGCTTTCGAGCCTCTCGACTGTCCTGGCTTCCGACTAGGGAATGTGCGGAAAGGCCCATGGATGCCGACCGCATTTGTATTTTCAGGCCCTTGGGGCTCTCTTGGGGCGTCTCGGAGGCCTCTTGGGTTGCCTTGGGACCATATTGGGCGTCTTGGTGCGATCTCTGCGCGTCGCGGGGCCCTCTTGGACCGTGCTGGGGGGCCGTTTGGGGCCCTCCTGGCCCGTATTAGGGCCCTCCCGGGCCCGAAACATCTTCGCGGGAAGCCGCCCCGGAGCCCAGGGTCCAGGGGGGCACGTGGCAAGCCCAAGGAGATTCGAGAATTCTGGGACTAGGCCCTTTGGAAGCTCCTCAGGAGTGAGGGCTGAGGCTTCATCTGTCAGACACAGGGCCTGAGGACACGCCCACTCCTTGCCCGGCGTCCAGGTGGCGCATCATGCACGGCGGCCAGAAATCACGAAGCAGAGGTCTTGACCTCTGCCTGGGGACCGATTTTTCCTCCCGAATCGTTGTTTCACGGCGAGGGCCCCCGGAGGCCGCACACGGGCAAAATTTGTCCGCCGCGACCTTCTCGGGGCGCGAAGGGGTCTGGGTAGGGGGCGGCGGCTTCTCCGCGAAGCTTGCGCCGAGCCCCCGGCAGCAGGGCCCGAGCGGGGTCGAGGCCGCGGGGGCGTGCCGCGCGGATGGAGGCGGCGGATGGAGCGCCGGCGTGGCCGCCGAGGGGAGGGGGGCTCCCCTGAGGATCCGGGCGTTGCCGGCTTCCCTGCGCGCAAGAACTGCAGACAACCTCACACGGGGGACGCGGGGAACCCGAGACCGCAGGGTCGGGCAGCCGTTTTCGCCGGAGACTTCTTTACACGGTCGCGCTCTCGCCGCAAGGCCGGCTACATTTTTGGTCCAGACGGCCACCAACCTTTTTGTGAGACATACGTGAAGGCGCACATCGTCACATGGCCGTGTTCTTGCCTCTGTCCTCTTTTGCCGATCGTCTGTTCATCGACGCGCCTCTTCACCTTTGCTGCTATTTGGATGCTTTGCTAGGGTGGTTTCGCACCGAACGTGTTCGACGGCTTCTGTGTTCCAGGACCGATCTGGCTCGAAGGATGACGCGGAAGGGCGGTGTAAAGGGCTTTGATAGAGATTGTTCACGATGCTGTGATATTGTCGAAACGTAGGACTTCAGAGTCAGGGAAGATGTATCGACCTCCCAAGCGCCCACTCATCGCCGACAGGGGCCCAAATATCCCACCGCGCCTGGGCGGGGAGGGATGTCGAAGTGGAGGGGCGGAGAGGGGGGCGACACAAATTGCGATCGGAGCCCTAAACCCAGTCTGTCGAATCTAATTTTCGAGCCAGGTCGATCTGTGATGGTGCCGGGGCCTTGCGCCAGGCGAAGACGCCCGGTGCGAAAGAGATGCAGCGCCCGGATCTCAGGGTTTTTCTGCCTCATCGTCCAGCGCGTTGTCGTTGCAGGCCTCGCCGCCGCGATCGCGATCGCCGATCTCCGATCGCCGTTCGGGGCTCGGCGGCAGGGCCTGGCGGGAGCTGCACAGCGGCGCCGGCGGCGCGCTGTGGGCGGGGCAGAGCCCCCACCTGCTGCCGCTGGCGCGGCTACCGCCCACGGCACCGCCGCGGGAGGCCCGCTGGTGGGCAAGGGGGACACCACAGGGAGGATTGGATTGGGAGAGGGGGGCGGGAGGGGAGCGGAGGGATGGAGAAGATGGGGGGGAGGAGGAGTGGAGGAATTGAGGAGGGGGAGGGGGAGGAGGACGACGAGGAATAAGAGGAGCACGGGAAAAAGGGGGCGGGGGGGGTGGCGAGGCGGGGGATGATGAGGATGAGGATAATGAAGATGCTGATGCTGATGCTCATGCTGATGCGGCTGAGTTGGATGATATTGATGATGATGATGCTGATGCTGCTGATGATGCTGATGAGACTGATGATGCTGATGATGATGAAAGCAAAGGAAGTTACTGATTTTGAAGCCGATACTGATGGTGGTGGTGATGATGTTGCTACTGGTGATGCTGATGCTGATTGTGATTGTTATGGTCATGATGCTGGTAGTGGTGTTGATGACGATGATGGTGGTGGTGTTGATGATGACGAGGAGGAGGAGGAGGAGGAGGAGGAGGAAGAAGAGGACGAGGAGGAGGACGAGGAATAGGAGCAGCACGACGAGAAGGTAAAGGAGCGGGCAGAGGAAGATGCGCCATGGAGGAGGAGCAGCAGCAGGAGGAGGAGGAGGAAGACGTCCGCCCCGGCCACCCAGGGTCGGCCACAGGGCGGCCGAGGGGCTCCTCGGGCCTGGCCGCAGCGGCAAAGTTCGGGACCTATGGCCAGTGTGGCCCGGGCGGATCGGGGGTTCGAGCGCCGATGGATCGGCGCGGCCTGAAGTTGGGGAGAGCGTAAAGAGCCGAAAGAGGGGAAGAGGGGACGGGGAGAGAAGGAAGAGGGGAAGAGGGGACAGGAGAAGATGGGAGGAGGACGAGGGTGGCCGAAGTCTTGCTACTGTAAGCTATTTGGCTAGGCGTTCCCCGAGTTTTTGTGGAGACCCTTGGGTGTACACTTGGGAGGAGGAGGAGGAGGAGGAGAAGGAGGCGTTTTGACGCGAACTCGTCCGCATCACCGAGTCACCGAGTGAGGAGGCATTGTGAGCGCCTCTTGAGCTTCTGAGGCATCTTGGGGCCTCCTGGGGCCTCTTGGAGGTCCCTTTGTGGCCTCTGAGGGGCCGCTTGGTCTGCCAAGGCCGCCTTTGAGGCCTCGCTGGGCCATATTGGCGCCCTTTTGGGACGCTTTCGGGCCGTCTTGGATGTCTGTGTGCCTCTTGGGTCCGTATCGGGGCCTCTTGGGCTCTCTTGCCCTTTTTTGGGGCCCCCTTGGGGGCTCCTAGGGCAGCCTTTGTGCTATCTTGGAGGCCTTTGGGTCATCCTGGGCCATCGGAAGCCCGAATGGGTGGGAATACAAACGTCTTTCAACATTTACAAGCGCAGCATGCTTTGTACATCTTCGAGCCCTCCTGGAGGGCCTCTTGGAAGTCCCCTTGGGCCGCCTTGTGGCCATCTTGAGCCATCTTGCGGCCATCCTGGATTCTCTGAAGGCTATCTTGGGCCGTCTTGGATGTATTGTGGGCGAACAAGGAGAACCATTGCACGCTCTTCGGCCAGATTGGAGCCATATGTAGTTGAAGGGGCCCGCCGAAACCGCACAGGGAACTGTTCCGATGGGCATCAGCCTGTCAATACTTGGCACGCACGCACCCCCCTTGCATCCCCAGAAACGCCCAGCAGCGCCCAAGAGCGCCTGGAAGTCAGTGGTCTGGGGCCCCTGTGCAAAGAGCATCTGCATTGTTCAACACAGGGACTGTAAGGACCCAGAAAACACTCCACTGGATGCTCCATTGCACGGTGGCGAATGATAGGGTGAAAGGGGAGAAGGAAGAATATACATAGAAAGAGGAAGAATAAGGACAATGATGGTTCCAACGGCGACGACGAGGAAAGTGTCTGTACACTCCGTCGCCGTTATGACCAGTGTCGTCTCGTGGCCGCCACGGGTCGGATTGGATTGTGCGTTGTTGTTGTTGTTGTTGTTGTTGTTGTTTTTTTTTTTTCGACTTTCTGCGCTACGCATATTGGACGCCTTGCTTTCACTCACGAGCCGGCTTACAGTCTTCGGTGTTCCTTGGCATGCCGTAAGAATGTCATGATGAGCCATGATGCGTTCAGCTTTACGAAATGTCAGAAAAAAAACACACACGCATATAGCCACACGGAATCATGGTGGTCGTCGTCGTTCCTGCCTTTGCTCTCCTTGTTCGGTTTGGACCTGCCCCCTCTTCCCCCGCCGAGTCCTGGGCAGGCCGAGGTGCAGCTCCCCATCTACCTGCTGGAAGGGACGGGGGGTGGGGCCTGGATGGAGGGAGCAGGAAGAGAGCAGGGGAGAGTAGCGAAGAGGGGATTGACTGACATCCACCCGGCACCCCATATTCCCTTTCTTTCCGTGCCCACCTTCGTCATCCACTTGTTCGCATGTTCTTCCTCCCTCCCTCCTTCCCTCCTCTTTCTTTCGCCCCTCCACTTTCCGATCTCCCTCCCATCCCTCCTCCGCCTTCCGTCTTGCATCGACCCCTCTTTCCCTCCATCCCGCCGCGCGCAACCTGTTGGGGTGATTCGCCGCCGCAGCCGGCTGCGACCCAGAGCTGGGGAGGCTGGGGATTTTGCCGCCGCGCCCAGTCCTTGACCGCGCCATCGGCCGTCGCCCCGCCGACGTGTACATCCAGGACTGACACCCAGGCGCGCCTGCTGCTTTTGACGTCGCAGTCTTCTTACCGCACGGGCAGGCTGCCCAGGGGCTGGCTTTTCAAGGGGTTGGATGCGCCGCAAGCGCGTACGACGTGGTCGAGCGCGCCCACCTCGACACGAAGGCTCTGTGCACGCAACAGGGGATGCTCTTCATCCCCTGGGTCGCAGGTCGCAGAGCCTACGGTTGGTTGGGGCCCGACGGGGGCCGCGACGTTTGGCCTGGAACGACGCGTGTCTTCCAGCAGCTGTCGGTGGCCATTTGGATGGCGCCCGCCCGCGCCACCTTGCGGCGGCAGTTGGAGGAGATCCTTGCCGGGGGAACGGCGGCCGGGGACGTCCTCGCCGAGGAAGACGAAGGTTTTTTGTCGGCGCCCTTTTGTCTCCCCCCTCCTCGCCCTCCTCGCCCCCGCGTCTGTGCATCCTTCTGAATGCCACGCAAGGCCCGCCGACCCGCGGCACAGAAGTTGCCACCTCGGGCCCCATTTCTCGTCGTGCCCCCTTCTTCTTTTCCCCCGGCCAGTGCTCGCGCGCGGGGCTCTCTTTTCCATCAGTTGGTAAAATAATGGTTTCCAGCGAGACTGAGTTGCGCGATCTTGGTGCGTCGCGTGCACGAAGATATCCCCGGGGGTGCCGTCGCTGTTGCTGCCCCCCGTTTCGCGTTTCACGCCTCCTTTTTTCCCTGCCCCGTTGCTGTTGTTGCCGCCCTTCCCTTCCCCTTCCTGTTCCTCTTCCCTTTTTCGCTCCCCGCCTGGGGGCGCGAAGCTAATTGTGCGGCGCGGCCCTCCCGATCAAGGGCACAAAGTCGAAGGCGGGCTGGAGACCCGTCGGGCGAGGTCGACGGCCTTACAGGTGGGTGCGCAGCCACAGGACTAATGTCCTTATCCCCCCCTCGTTTTTCCCCATATATCGTCTTCCTTCTGATTGCTTATCACGCCCCACCTACCTCCCCCTTTCCGCCCCCCTTTAAAACAACAGTATTATCATCCTTCCACTCCTTGTCCTCCTCCTCCCTCCTTCCTCCTCGTCCTCCTCGTCCTCCTCGTCCTCCTCCCCCTCCTCCTCCTCCTCCTCCTCCCCCTCCTCCTCCTCCTCCTCCTCCTCCTCCTCCTCCTCCTCCTCCTCCTCCCCTCCTCCTCCTCCTCCCTCCTACCCCCTCCTCCTACTCCTCCTCCTCCTCCTCCTCCTCCTCCTCCTCCTCCTCCTCCTCTCCTCCTCCTCCTTTTTCCGCCCCTCCATCCACCCTCCCCAACCCCTCCATTCCCCCATTATAGTGCTCTCCCCCCCCCGCTGTCCAGCCCCCCCCAAAAAATTGTCCACCGCCCCGTATGCTTCCCTTCCCTGCCCCCCATCCGCCAGCCAACCGTTTCTTTGATAGTGTTGAACTCCCTGTTGCACCACCGGACGTGTTTGTTCAGGTGGTCATGGTATTTCGCCTGAGACGATCTCGCCGTTTTTTTGACCGCGAAGCTTTATAGTTTCAGCAGTTACGGACGATTCACCGCTCTCACCGCTTATCATGGGACGCAGAATCGGTCTCTCACGTTCGCACCCCGCACATTCCTTATGAAACCTCGTGGCAACTACAAGGATGGATGGTGGTGCCTTGCCACTGCTGGACCCACTCTTCAACGCAGCGCACATCCGTTTCAATATTTTCAGGGTGTTGCAGGAATTGAGTGCAGGCTCGTAGTGATAAAGGGACCCCCGCCGCAGCGCCGCGCACATTCATGTCACAACGGTATGGATGGAGGACGGCCTCTTCAAACAATGAGGCTGCTACTTGACATTTCAAGGTCGACGACCAGAAGCCTTAAAGCATGTAGCAGCTATCAGCTGTACGGATGTAAGGCGAATTCGTTTCAAAATTGTGTTATCGCTGGGCTTGTTCAGTGGAGTTTTCGAACTGTGAACCTGCACAAGAGTTACACGGATGGGGGGGCCTCCTTGTCAAGCGGGACTCTCGTTCGTCACTTTCGCATTCTGAGGCAGTTCTCAAACAGTGTGCGCATTTCGTTGTTATACTTGTGTTCTAAAGTAGCCTGGCCCCAGTGCTGGTCTGGCCCGCTCGTCGCCGCCTGTCGCCGCCGTCTGTTGCCGTCATTTGCATTCGTCCATTCGCACCCGTCCCCCTCGCACTCATCCTCTCTCATAGCATAGCACAGCACAGCATAGCACAGCGTACCGCAGCATAGCACGGCACAGCTCAGTATGACATAGCGCAGTTTAAGATAGCATCGAATGGCACATAACGAAAAGGCATACCATAGCACAGAAAAGTATGGTGCAACCAATTCGGTGCGCCTTAAGACTGCACGACATCGATCGCGTTGCGGAGATTGTCTCGTATTGATTGGCATTGCGTGGCTTGCGCTGCACATATTGCCACGCGTAAGTTGCATCGCACATACCACATCGCAGAGTATGCTAGAACTCACGGTTTGGGGCCCACGCTGGTTAACATTTTTTTCGGAAAGGGAGTTCCGTCTGAATGACAGGCGTACGGGGTGCTCGCATTCGAGTGATAGGGAAGGCTTGCAGGGACTTATGCGGAGGGGATTGGGGGCAGGAGGGTGTGTTGCAGCATCGTTGATGCACCCTGGGTTTACCCTGGTCCTCCTCCTCCGCCTCCTCCCCTTCTCGCCCTCCCCCCTCCCCTCATTCCTCTCCTCTCACCACGTGTGGGCGATTCTCGAGTCTGGGTGCGTGGCCGTGATCAACGATGATATCTTTGAAATAGAAATCGGTCGGCCTACGATGCTGGCGGCTGCGATGGCTCGGGCGACACCCGCCGCCGTTCGGGGTGGCGCCGCAGCGGCCACAGCGCTGGAGAGCACGGCGCACAAAGCGGATTCTCCGTTCAGAGTGGCACGGAACCCATCCTTTTTCCCTCCCGCCTCTCCCGCCTTGCCCACCCGTTCCCATATCCCCCTCCTTGCCCGTGTCCTCTTGCCGCTACCTCGCGGCCGTGGGTGTCTTGAGGGCGGGAGAAAGTCGGGGGCGGCTGGCCAGGGCCTCGCCGGCGGCTACTACGCCGAGGAGTTCGGAGGCCTCCGCCAGCGCAGCCCGAGGGGGATTGAGGTGGCAGGGGCGGGGGGGGGTGACAGGCTCGCGGAGGGACGCATCGACCCGCCCAGGAACGTTCGGGTCAGCTTCCAGGGGCATAGCCAGAGTCACCAGCGATGTATCGCCGATTGCAGGTCGATGTTTCCCCCCGCTACCCCCCATGGCGGGCCCCCCTTATCGTTGCCCCTCAGAGGATCGAGGGAGGTTCGGGGGCTGAAGTGTGACACGTTTGCGGCCCTCCTTGGGCCTCCGCGAGGCTTCTCGTCGCCACGGCTGGATATGCTTCGAAATTCGAGCCAGCAGGCTCCCCTGGAGAGGTTCCGAGGGAGATCGGACCTGAGGCGCTTCGCCCTCTTAGCATCATGCGGCCCCTCCGGGGTCCCAGGGACGTAATACAACTGCTTAGGATCAAAGCCGACCCGAGGGGAAGCCCCAGGTTCCAGGACCTTTTTTCGCAGGACCACCTTGCCACATGGCAAAGGGCAAAGGGGATCCTGTTTCTCCTGCTTCCGTTCCTGCCCCAAGTAAGCCTCATGACAGCCCAAGGGGGCCGGAAAGCGCCCTCACAGGGTCCAAAGATGCCCCGATGACATCCCAAGAGGCCCCGAACACCCGCCATGACGGCCTGGGAGGCCCCAATCTTTAGCAGAACCACCACAACGGAGAGCAGCCCAAACAAGGAGGAAGCACCAGAGGGCATCATGTTGGAGAGCCAGCAGCATGCAGCAGCACTAGTCGCAGCAGGCAGGAGCAGCACGCAGCAGCAGAATTCAGCAGAGCGACGGCCCTTAGCAGCATCATCGAGGAACCCATACATCGGGTAGAAGTAAGTCTGCAGTTTCGTTTCTCTTTGTGTTTGGCAGGTGGTGATTTGTTTGTGCTGGGTGTGGGAGAATCACATATTTGTTGCATCTATATGATGTCAGTATGCGCATAAGTGCCCAGTGCGCAGGGAATTCAGCTCCGCGTCCCGGTGATCAGTGCCCTCGAACTGAAGTCTAAAGCTCTTTTCCCTCCCTCAACCCCTTCCGCTTGAACACTACACGCAGGACAACGTTTTGCGGCTTTGATCTCCGACAGAAGAGTGCTACCACGATTTGCAAATTGCCTAGAGAGACTTATTTTGCCAACGAGTACTTTGATAGTGAAACAGCGAAGCAGCACCACACAAGCAACATTGTACATACTATACATAGGCAGCGCAATTCAGTGTTACCTCCCCCCGTTCTCACCTCACGCCCTGCTTTGCTTCGTTTGCCCCATCCCTTTCAATCTCTTCACTCTCTCTCGCTCTCTCTTTGTGTGTTCTTTGTTGTTATGTATTACTATTTGTTTCATTCTCTGTCTCTCTCTCTCGGGCGCGCGCTCCCAGCAGTTTCCTCCCGTCCCCTCTGTCACATCGACTCCTGTCCCCTCCCCTCGCTGTCCCTCCCCCCATCCCCCCTCCAGTCGTCTTCCTTCCACTACCCCCGTTCCCATCCTTCCCCAGTGATGATGGCAATGGGCCATAGGAAGAGGTGAAGCAGAACGCGATGGGGAGAGGAAGGGAAGAGGAAGAGAAGGATGATGCGCATGAGATCCCACTTACACTTCCTTCACCCACCTCCCCTTCCTCCCTCCTCCTTTCCCTCCCTGCCCTCTTCCTCGCTCTCCCCTTTCTTGTCTTTCTGTGGCCCTCGCGTCGCCTCGCTTTTCGGGGCCCCGTCCGTCCCCTCGTCGCCTCTTGTGACTCTGGCCCACGTCCGGATACAAAACACAGTGTCGCATTCTCCCCCTGCCCTTGCCCCCCCGTCCAATCCTTTTGACAGAGTGCGCGTGTTCCTACCATCTCCTGTCCTACCTCCCCCGCGTGCACACCATGATTTTTTTCCTCATCTGAGGCCCCTGGAGGCCGCCTGGGGCCCCGTCGGGGCCCTGTGCCCGCCGCTGCCGTGTTTGACCCTGGGGCCCCCCAGGGCATCTGACCATCTTACGGTCTGCCGTCCCGCGGGCGGTTCAGGGCGATCGGGGCAGCTGTTTCCCTGGCGCTGCGCGCTGGAGAGAACGAGCGAGCTGATTCACACCGCTGTCGCGGCCCGCCGAGGCAGGCGATCCCCGGGCGACTTCTTCGACAGCGTCGAGGCCATCTACCCAAGGGAGTTCGACAGCGTCGGGCCCAACATCTACTCAGGGGAGTTCAACAGCGTCGGGCTCAACATCTATTCAAGGGAGTTCGACACCAGCGGGCTCAGCATCTATTCAGCGGAGCTCGGCGGCGTCGAACCGGACGCCCCCGGTAGCGGGTTCGACGGCGCCGAGCGACACCAGTCTACGAGATGGTTCATCGAGATGATTACCATCAGGGCTGTGCTGGACAGGCGAGCCTAATCCCAGTCTGGGATGGGGCCCCGCAAGGGTGGCGGCGCTACAGAGTTGACGTGGAAATATGGGCGCCGGGCGCCAATCCCGAGGTGAACTATTGTGCGGTTGCGCTGCTGGTTTCGAGGCTTCGAGGGGCAGCTCGGCGAGTATGGCTCCGTATTCTTCGGGATCAGCTTCAGCCCTTTCCAGCGGCCGCCGCGATGCGCGACGATGATTGTACCGTTGTGGAGGTGGCCCAGTCGGCCGACTACAGGCGTAGGATCATGCGTGGAATCGAACGAATGGTCTCGCAACTGCATGATGATAAGTACGCATACCAAGGCATCGGGACGATACTGATCAGCATATTCCTGACACGCGCGCGACTGAGGTCAGGAGGTCACTGCCGCGGCGGCACCAGCGGCAGCAGCGAGGACGCCGACGACCCCCACCAGGAGCTGGCTCTGGCGCGAAGGGTGTGAACACCACCGAGCACGAGGAGCTCCGCGAGCACGACGACCGCGAACTCGGCGGCGAGACGGGCGATCACGACGACCACGGCGAGGACGACCACGACGTCAACGAGCAGGAGGTCTGCGACATCCAAGGGTTTGTGCGCCAGAAGCTCGCAACGGAGCTGGCTGGCGCAGACGGGGGCCTCTCGACCGAGCGGACCATGGCCCTGGAGGAAGCGGCGTTGCAGGTGCCCCAGCTGCCCGAGGCGCTCGAGGTGACCGGGGGCGCGCGCGGCAGGATCAAGGGGCGAGATCGCGGTGGCAAGGCCAAGGGCAAGTCTCGCGGGCGCTCGGCCGGGCGCGCAGCTGCCCGACCGGGACCTGGCCCAGGGGTCGGGGCGCGCAGCGGAGGCGGCAGGGGTCGTGAGCTAGCTGAGAAGCTGAGACAGCGCGAGCTGAAGTCGACCTGCAAGGCATGCAGGCTTCAAGGTCACTGGGCAGACGACCTTGGGCGCAAGGCTCCGCGTGCTACCCTGGCGACGACAGCGGGCGACGACCCGGGCTCGGGCCATGGCGCCCTGGCCGCGGAGCGGCTGAAGGACAAGAAGCTGTTCGAGAAGCAGATCCTCCGCAACGAGCTGGCGCGCGGGGCCGCGGACCGCCTCGACGACGCGGTCGACGCGGCGCGCGTCATCTTCTTGATGGGAGACGTCTGGTGGGAGGCCCACCACGAGGTGCTGCGCGAGATCGAGATCGACGACCTGGTCGGGCGCGAGCAGATCGCCGAGAAGTTCAGGTTCGGCGACGGCGGCGCCCTCGCGCTCCACGAGCCCGTCTGGTTAACAGCCGCAGTCGCAGGCGTGCCAGTCTTGGCCGGGGCTTGCGTCGCTAAGAGCGAGAAGCCCAGCTCGTTGTCGAAGCGCTGCTTCATGGCGGCGATGGGCGATGGCATCGACGCGGCGCGTGGGGGGCTCACCGCGGGCTCGGGCTCCCAGCCGCTGCTGGGGACCGAAAACCATCGCTTCGCGCCGGAGCTGAAGCCCGAGAAGCACAGGGCGCTCTCCGGATCCCGCGCTAGCAAGGAGCAGCTTCCGGCCAACAGCGGTCATCGTGCTCGGCCCGTGCCGCCCCCGCGCGGCGGCCGCCATCGCCGCGACCACGCGATGCGCCGTAGCTGGCGGGAACGAGGTGGAGTCGGGAGGTCAGCCAGATCTCCGACGCTAGCGCGGAGGTCAACGTGACTGGGCACGAAGAATACGCGGGCCCTGGCGTCATCGGGCTCTTCGGCTTCGGTCGCGCCAGCGAATTGCAACCTGCGCGGCGCCTGCTCTGGGCTTTGCCGGACGCCTGGCTTTTTCGAGCGCCGGGCGCGCGGCATGGGCGCGTGCACGCCGAGCCCCCGGGGGCTACAGCGCGCGAGCTGCTGCCGCGCAGTCGGGCTCGGCGCGTCCGCGTTCGGGAATGGCGCCGAGTTTGCGACCGGGCACCGAGCGCGGAGGCGACTTCGTCGCGGCGCCGCTGCTCCACGCGCGGCAGGAGCACAACGCGAACATGGATTGAGGCAAGTGTTCGTGAAGAAGGCTTTTGCGACACACCCGAACGACGCCATGGCGTCGACGGCTTCGAGAGGCACGAGGGGCGCGCGACGCAGGAAGCCATGCGCGACGGCCGAGTACGGCTGCGAGATGGACAGCCTCACGGCCCAGGTCTGGACCGCCGCAGGCGGAATGGCATATCGATTCGGACTCCCAGCTGAAGATTCACGACGACGTGAGCACTCCAGGAATGCGGGTGAGCTGTGGGGGGAGTCAGCTAGAGAGCCGCGGACGGACGCGAGGACGCACTGCGGGGCAGCCCACCCTGTGGCCCTTGGACCGAGCGCCAGAACTTCATTAAGAACAACGCCTGGCTGACCATCGACGGGCCGACAGGGCCGAAAACAGGCGCATGGCCAGCCTGGCCAGGCCAGTCTTCGTGGAGGCGAAGCGGGCCCTAGAAGTGGGAGCGATCGTCGCGTTCGAACGGCCCCTGAACTGTCACGGCTGGAAGGGGCCCGAGTTTCAGGAGCTCGAGAGGCCGCTGCCCTTCGAGTGCGCGAACGACGGCTGCGCCAACGACCTGAAGGACGACAGGGCCGACAAGTACGTCAGGAAGTCATGGAAGGTGCTCTCCAGCCATCAGCAGTTGCAGAAGTTCCCGAACATGGGATGCCCACGGGATCATGAACACCCTCAAGACCGCGAGTTCGGCGAGAAGACGTCGAAGAAGACGGCCCTGCACACCAAGGCCCTGCGACGAGCGGCAGTGAAGGGATTCAGGAGGAGCATCGCGGACGTCAGTTACACTCTGGCCACGTAGCAGATCCACCCCGAGGGCGAGGAAATGGAGAAGGAGCCTCAGGGGACCCCGGCGACTCTGCAGCCTGAGCAGAGTACCGTGCTGACCAGGGCCGTGGCCAAGATGCGCACCAACCTGCGCCACCCAGGCAGTCGGGCTCTGTCCAGGGCCATCCGCCTGGCGGTCGACTCGAAGCATGCCATCGCGGCTGCCCTGGCCTACCATTGCATTACCTGCATCAAGCTGGTTTCGCCACCAGCCGCGACGGCGTCTTCGCTCTGAGATCGGTGGAATGAGTTCGGCGACTGCCTGGTCATCGTCACCTTCGAGCTGGCCGACGCACAAGGAGTCTGTTGGGTCTTCCTGAACCAGATCGGCATACCATCCAAGTGCCAGCGGGGGATGTGGCTCGCGCTCGGAGCCGCACGGCCTTGCCCAGATCATGAGCCCAAGAAGCACCTAGCCAATAGTGCCAGGGTGGTGGGCGCGTGCTGGGTCGCCACGCCGAAGCAGGCGAAGCGGTCCAAGTTCAAGTCTAGCCAGGTGGTCCAGGGCTGCCAGGAGCGGTCGAGCTACATCAGGGGTGGTGCCCCCGCGGATTCCGCGGACGCGCTGATGGTCACCTTGGGCATCTTAGCCCATCGCGGCCGGACAGGATGCTTCTGCGATGCCATGTCCGCGTACTTGCAGGCCGAAGGCGCCGACAGGCTGCCGCTCATCGGAATGCCCAAGCGTCGCTCCACCGACCCGGGGATGGTCCTCATGACCATAGTACGGTTTGCCGCCCCGCGGGCGGTCCAGAGCGATCGGGGCAGTTGACTCCCCTGGCGTTGCGCGCTGGAAAGAAAAGCGAGCTGATTCCAACTGTTGGCGCGGCTCCGCCACCCTTCACCCCCCCCGCCCGTCCCGCTCTCTCCCTCGCTCTCCCGTCCCTTACCACGGTTGGTTCCCAGCCGTTTCTTTCTAGCCGCACCAGTGCTGGAGTGGGAGCAACCTGCGCGTGGGCTCAAAGAGCTCGAATGTGGCGATTTGCGCGCGTTGCTTTGGGCACCCAAACGCGCCCAGGAATCGGCAACGGTCTCAAGACAGTCTGTCCGCCCAGGGGAGGTCAAACCCCCAGGGCCGAGGTAATGTATGCAGCAAAGCAGAGAGAGGTGTTCATCCCCACCACGTATGGCGCGCCCGCCTGGGCGAGCTGGCTGGGCCATCTACGGCGCTGCGCGCGCGGTGGAGGAAACATTTTTCCGGTCCTGACGCGGCGCAGGCAACGGGGTTGGTTGACGCATGCCGCGCGGCACATGATCAGCCGATGACGGTGTCCTGCGCGCGCCACGGCTGAAGAGTTCGGGCGCACATCCTATTCCCTTCGCGGCTGTTCGGGCCAGGGCCGACGCACTCGGGGACGAGCGCTTTGATTGTCAGGCCCCCTCTGGGGCGTGAGGCTGGCGTCGGAGGCGCGCGTGCGGCGCCCCGGACTGTGCCCACCACCACGGCGGTCAACCCGTGGGACCTTCCCTGGTCACCTCCCTTCTTCCCTCGGGGGTCGTCTACCCCTCCCTGGCCCTCTCCCCTCCCCCCCGCCCTCTCTCCCTCCCCTCCCCCTCCCCCCCTTCCCCCCGCCCTCCCTCCCCGCCGGCAGGCGGCCAGCTGCGCCCCATCCGCGACGCCGTGGTGCTGGAGTGGGCCGGCGGCGCCGGCGGCGTCCGCTCCGCGCGCGCGGTGGAGCTGCCCGGAGACGAGCACCCGTCCCCCCGGGGGAGGGGTTTGCGATGGCGGCGGCGGCGACAAAGTTTCGAGTCCCGAGGTTCGAGATTCGATGTTGTCGCTCGTTTTCGTCAGCTCTCGGCTTTCCAGGCTCGGGGTGCTTCCAGGCGGCTGCGCCTCGCCGTGGGCGTTCCCCTGGATGGTCCCGCGCGGCCGCCCAGGACCCCAATGTTATGACCTGGAAAAAAAAAACAGACGACGGCGGCGGCGGCGGCGACAAACCCAGATCTCCGAGGATGGGATTTTGTCAAACAGCAAGTTTCCTCGATCGCGGTCCTCGTGGGCCGTTGTTGGGCCCCAGGAGCATCAAAAATGGATCCGGGGCAAACTAGCGCTGAGGATAGGGGTCGGGACTTTCTTGTGGCTCCAGAGACGGGGTTTGGGACCTCTGGGGCCGTAACCCAAGGGTGGATCTGCTACGGCGGCGGTGGCGACAAAGTCGGGCAGTTCCACAGTTCCAAGAGGGGGCACCACTGGGAGGTTCACCAGTTCCTCCTCAGAAGCAGGGCTCCAGGATCGAAACTCGAGGAGGTTTTCGGACGATTGGGGTTGCTTCGGGAAGCTCTAACGTGTTCTTCGGGGCCCAATTCCTTTAGGAAGTGGCGTTTCTGGCCACTTTCTCGGGGGGTGGGCTGCGACGACTGCGGCGACGGCGACAAAACGACGGGAAGTCGGGAATCCCAGAGGTGGAAACCTCGAAGCATAGAACACTGCATGACCAGACATGCTCGGAGCTCCTCACTGATTTGGGTCGGCGCTGGGCACGCCCTGGCGGCGGCTCTGGCGCCGCCCAGGCAGTGGCAAGCTCGAGGTTTTCGGGCGCTTTTCGGCGGCTGTCCGGCCTCGGGGTGCTTTCCAGCAGCCGCGCCTCGCAGTGTGGCGTCCGTGGCTGGCCAGATCGTTCCGAAACGGCCGCTGGAGAGCCGAGTTACGATCGGAAAACCAAGGGAGTAGTCGAGCGACGACGACGGCGACGGGGAGCCAACGAGTCCAGAAGTGGAGATCACTGGGCAACGCCAGGGGGTGGCAGGCCCGCCCCGCCCAGGATCGTTCGGATTCGCTGTCGGGGGCCTATCGCCGATCTACCGGCGATATATCGATGGTCACCCCCCCCTGAACCAGCCCCCCCCCCCTCCATCGATGCTCCTCATGAAAACGGGTTTGCCATGAAGCAAGCGGCTCCTGAACGACACGGGTCTTGAGGTTGTTCGCCGGTTTTGGGCTCCCGGGGGCCTTCCCGGTCAAGAAAGACGTAGGATGAACAGCTGTTCTTGGAGAAGCCCCGGGAGTCAAGGACCTGCCTCCCTCCTGGTAAAAGGATACCGGTACCGCTACCCGTCCCTCGTCGCACCAGCTGGATCTGCCTCCAGATCCTGGTCAGAACGCACCCCGACGGAGCGGCCAGGGGCGTCTCGGGCCCCTGGCCCAGATCCTGTTGTCGGGCCTCGTGGCCATCAAGATTGGACCCCAGGCGAAAAATTGGCTTGGGGAAGGGGGTCGCGAGCATTGGGGGCCCGGATCGATTGAAAACAACAGTGCCAGATGTCTGGAGATGGTCCTAAGGAAGCAGCGGTATCGACTTGGGTCCGGCGGCCCGGGGTCTGGGAGGAGGAGGAAGGGCGGAGCAGGCGTCAGGAGAGCTCGGAGCGCCCGCTCCCAGAGCGCCAGCCACACGAGGAGAACGAGCTGACAGAGGAGGAGGAGGAGGAGGAGGAGGAGGAGGAGGAGGAGAAAGAGCTGGAGGAGGAGGAGGAGGAGGAGGAGGAGGAGGAGAAGGAGGAGAAGGATGAGGGTCAGCGGCGGAGCTGCGACGACAGGACGACGAGAGTCGAAGCAGAAAAAGGAATGTAAGCATAAACGTTTGGAGCTCCGCGCAGTTTGCTTGGATTGGTGCTGAGCCGGCTCCGTCGCCGTCCCTGGCGCGCTCCGCGAGCAAGGGCAGGTCCAGTTCCGTCCGCGCGGAGTTCCGAAAACTTATGTGTACCTACCAATCCCCCCCCGCGGAGATGGCGCGGGCCCTCAGCGCCCTCGTGTGCTTCACAGAGGCTCCAGCGTCGGCTCTCGTCCAAGTCGGTCTTCTTGACGGCTGCCCCGACGATGTTCGGGGGCGCGGGCGCAATTGCCACGAGTGCCTCCGCATGCATGGCCTCCCCGTCCGCCTCGTGCCTGTCGCGGGCTCCGCTTCGTTGTTCATCTCGCCTGCGTCCGCGGCCAAGCCGTCCTCCTGCTATGGCGCCGTCGTTCGGCACTCCGTGGCTTGTTCTGAAGCTGTCGGTGCAGTGACGTTCCAGAGAGGCCACGTCAGAGCCTCTTGCACTAAACAATGACAAAACGGAGGAGGGTTGGGAGGATCAGGATGGGTAGGCGGTGGGGGCGAGGTGTGGGAGGGGAGAAGGACGGGGACGGGATCAGCTCGTCCAGTCGCTTCCACCGCCCCCCTCCCGGGGAGAGGTTGCTGCACGGCGCCGCCAAGGCGAGATTGGCCGATGGGAGTTTCCTCTTCTTCGGCCGGGCAGGGGGGGAGAGTGGCGGGCGATGAGGATGGGCTCGCCACCGTCCTCCCCCCAAACACCATCAGCAGCATTATCATCATCCTCATCATCATCATCGGCACCATCATCTGGTCCCACCTTGTGAGCTGCCTCGCTCGTCAAGTCTTGCGCCCTCGTCTTGTCCGCTTGCTCTTGCCCTTCCTCTCGGCGAGCTCAGACGCGCAGGTGTGTCCATCCCCCTCCTACTGCGGTTATTCCTGATGTTCCGCCTTCTTCCCCTCCCCAACCAGTCCTCTTCCGTCCCTCCCTCCTGCTTCTTCTTCCGTCTGGAAGGAGGTGCTTGCGCAGGAGCAGAACGGGAAGGAATGCTCGGGAAGGTGGGAGAGGCGGTGGAGGAGAAAGGGGGCATGATAGTCTCGTGCCCCCCCCCTCTTCATCCCACTCCTCATTCCTCCTGCTCCTCTTCGCTCTCAGGGTGACGGGCATGGTGAGTGGAAGGGCGCTTGGCCAAAAGAGCCGATACGCAGGACTGCATGCTTGGCAAAAACGTTCAACCTATTGCGGCCATCAGTGTTGTATGTGTGTAGACGTGTGAGTGTGTGTGTGTTTGTTTTGCAGCCACGTGCGCGGAGGCGCGTCATTGTGCCAGGACCCAATGGAATCGCGGCTTACGGAGGGTAAGAAGGCTACGCGCCAGCGCTTTGGTGGAGACGGCCAGGGCGGTCGCCAGGCATTTGCCAAGATCACTCCACGTGGTGCGGACGCACGTGTCTGTTTGCTGTGGGGGCGGACTGACGCAGAATGCAACGATTGGATGAAGTGCGCATCTCACAACGTGCGGGTTGTTTCACCGCCCGCCCGTGTCCCTCAAACTTACAAACAACATCCCGCACACTTGCAAGAGGCATGGTAGAACACATGTCCATGAATATCCGCAAGCCTGCAGAAGATCTGCGCGTTCCATTAGATGTACCGGTTGTCTCTCTCTCTCTCTCTCTCGTCGCCGTCGTCGTCCGATTATTCCGTTTCTTACTCATTATCCCTTCTCGTCCCGTAGTTAGTTTATTTCTATCCTTTCTTTCCTCAGTCGTCCCGTCGTCGCATCTCGTGAATGTCTTCATCCTCTCTCGTCCATCCCCCTTTACCTTCCTGTTGTCCCACTCGCGTTTCCCTTCCTCGTCTATCCTGCCTCTCCCCTTCCTCCTCCACCTCCTCCCTCCCCTTCCCCCTCCCTCCTTCTCCTCCGTCTTCTTTGGCATGCCGTCGGATGTGCCCGTTGCGTCGGCCTCCTCCGTCCTCCTCCCCTCCCTCCTCCCTCCTCCTCATCCTCCCTCTCCCTCCTGCCTCCTCCTCCTCCCCTTCCTCGCGTCCCACTCGTTACCGCCGCGCCCATCGTTGGACACCGGGGAGGCGGGGGCAACCCGGCCGAGTCCTCCTCCGCCGTCAGCCGCCTGCGGGTGCACCCCGCGCTGCAGCGCGCGCCGGCGGACTCCGCAGAGGCGTGGGCAGCGATCTGCCAGGGGGGTGGAGCTGCGGGCAGCCCCTGGTCGGCCGCGCAAGGGCTAGGATGAGGAAAGGGGGGAGGAGGAGAAGGGGGGAGGAGGAGGGGGGACAGGAGGAGGAGGGGCAGGAGGAGGAGGAGAAGGCGGACGAGGGGAAGAAGAGGTCGTGGAGGGACCGGGAGAGAAGGAAGGAACGAGGAGAAATGGGGGAGGTGGAGGAGGAAGGGGAGGATTGGAGAGGGGGAGGATTGGGCGGGACACTTCAGGCGGACAAGACCACACACGTTGGCTTTGGAGCTCCATGGGGTACGACCCAGCCGTCCAACCCCAAAGCTGGACGGGAGAGGTAAAATCAAGGAGCACACCAACGCCAACCTGCTCTATCTCACGGGAGAGCTGCCGTCCAAGCTAGTCTCCTCTGCGGCGGGGCGGAGGATGAGGATGGAGGGCCGCGCGCTCCTGCCCGCAAGCGCATGAGACGCCTTCAGACCTATCGATGGACTTGTGCTGATGCCTTGAGCTCTTTGAGCATCGCTTGTGACCTCGACGCTCCCGGTGGGGTGAGTAGGAGGGGGAGCAGGAGGAGGGCAACGGCGAAGGAGGAAGGGGGGAGCAGGTTCAGTAAAATGTTATCTGAGGGTTAAAAAGATTCGGAGGGTTCAAAGTCGCTCTGAGGGTTCAAGATTTATTTCTGCTCCCCGAGGCGCGATCTTTGTCTGGTTTGTGCCACCACTGGTTGGCTCGTCGGTTGGTCGGTCGGCTGGTTTGATGGTTTGTTGTTTGGCGGGTTGGCTGATGGGTTGGCTGGTTGATTGGTTGGCTGATTGGTTGGCTGATTCCTATGTTGCTTGGGTGGTTCGTCGGTTGTGTAGTTGGTTGGTTGGTTGGGCGGTCGGTTGCTCGGTCGCTTAGTTGGTTAGTTAGTTGGTTGGTTGGATACTTGGTTGGTTGGTTGGTTGGTTTTTTGATTGTTGATTCACTAGTTGGTTGGCTGGCTGGTTAGTTAGTTGGTTGGCTGGTAGGGTGGTTGGCCGGTTGGCCGACGGGCCGGTTGGTTGATTGGTTTGTAAAATTTGTTGGTTGGTTGGTTGGTTGGTTGGTTGATTGGTCGATTGTTTGGTTGGTTCGTTCGTCGGTCGGTCGGTTGGTTGGTTCGTTGATTGGTTGGTTCGATGTTTCGTTGGTTTGTTTGTTTATCGGCCGGCTTGCTGACTAAAGTTGCTTGAAAGCAGTGTGTCAGATGTTGACGATCGTGATCATGGTGGAAGGGTAATGATGAGTTTGATGATGATGACGACGATGACGATGACGATGACCACGAGTATGATGGTGCTGTTGATGACTATAATGATGATGTTGATGATGACGATGATGATGATGATGGTGATGATGATGATGTTGATGATGATGATGCTGATGATGATGATGACGATGGTGATGATGAGGATGGTGATGAGGATGGTGCTGTCGATGATGGCCATGATGGTTGTGACGATGATAATGAGGATGAGGATGGGCATTCGGATTGGGACGACGGGCGATTCTGACTCCGACGACGGTTACGAGGACCACTACTTACACGGACGGTGGTGCGGAGGGGGAGGAACACCATAGAAAGACACATCAGCGACCGAGGTGGGGGAGATTGATGATCAATGGCCCGGGACTGACCGAGAAGGAGGAGGACGAGGATCGAGGATGGAGGATCGAGGATCGAGTAGCATGAATGAGGTTGAAGAGGAGGAATGAAGGCGGAGGAGGAGGAGGAGTAGGAGGAGGAGGAATACGGGGGCCGGGGATAGAACAGAATAGAAGGAGGGTGAGAAGCAGAAGGAGGAGGAGGAGACGAGGAGGAGGAGGGAGGCGGTGGAGGAGGATAAGGAGGAGGAGGAGGATGAGGAGGTTGATGAGGAGGAGGAAGAAGAGGAGGACGAAGGGGAGGAGGAGGAGGAGGAGGAGGAGGAGGAGGAGGAGGGAGGATGAGGAAGGGGAGGAAGAGGAGGTGGACGGGAGGATGATGGATGCTTGACGTCGAGGATCGAGACTCCATGAGAATAGGGTAGGAGAGTGACCACGACGATCGACGACCAGGAAGAGGGGAAGGAGAAGGAGGAGGAAGGAAGGAGGAGGAGGAGGAGGAGGAGGAGGAGGAGGAGGAGGAGGAGGAGGATGGTTCGACAGCTGCTCAGCCGAATTGCTGGTGCGCGTTTGCCTGATTGTCTAGCGACCTAGTGGTTTAGCTCCCTCTTGTGCTCCCGCTGCTTTTTCTTCACCTTACTTCCCATATTCGTGTCCTCCGCCGACCCTCGAGAGTAAACCAGGAGGAAAAGGCCCTGAGGAGGAGGGACCAGGAGCAGCAGAACGGAAAGCAGGAGAAGATAATCAGCGGGAGCAACAGCAACCGCAGTAGGAGAAGGAGGAGAAACAGGAGAAATAAGGGAAGAGGGCGAGGAGGACAAGGACAGGATGCGGAGGAGGAGGAGGAGGAGGAGGAGGAGGAGGAGGAGGAGGAGGAGAACTACGATCGGCGGGTAACGCCACCCTCCAAAGCATCCTAGAAAAAAAAGTCATCCCGGCGGGGCTACTAGTAGGGCCCGAGTAACCGTACTAGTTTGCTCTTGGGAGTTTGGCCGGGGCGTACCGGCAGGGCTGGCGCGGCCTACCAGTACGGTCGGCGGAGAGGGAAAGTTGTAAGGCTACTTTGGGCTGCTAGTGCGGCCCTGGGGGCCTGGCTTGGGCGTGCTCGTAGGGCCACTGTGCCTTCACAGTACGACGGGAGGAGAGGGCCCCCTCTCGAGACATGCTCGAATATTCACCCTGGCGGGGCTGCTCGTAGGGCCAACGTAGCCCTCCTCGTGTGACTCGGGGAGTTGACCCAGGACGTTCCAGGAGGGCTTGCTTGGCCTACTCGCACGACTGGCGAAGAGGGCCCCTGCTCGGGCCATCCTCGAAAGTCCGCCTCAGAGGGGTAGTATAAGGCTACTTTGGCGTACTGGTACGGCCCGGTAGAGCCTGGCCGGGGCGAAGTAGTGTAGAGCTACACGTTGGCCTACTCGCACGACGGGCGGAGAGGGCCCCCCGCCCGCGACGTCCTCGAAAGACTGCCCCAGCGGGGCTACAAGTTGGGCTGCTCTGGCGTACTGGTACGGCCCCGGTAGAGCCTGGCCGGGGCGTTCGTCCGACGGGAAGTGCTATAGCCCGAGACAGCCTCGAGAGCTCGCCCTGGTGTGGCTACCGTGGCGTACACGGCCATGTGGAGTCCCGCCTGGTCGCAGTAGTATTTCTATCGTGCCCTGCCCGTGCGATCAGCGAAGAGGGCCCCGGCTCGAGACATCCTCAAAGGTCCGCCCGTGGGTGGGCTGCAAGGTGGGCTGCTTCAGCCTACCCGTACGACCGCCAGAGAGGGCCCCCGCTCCGGGGGGCTGCTAACACAGCTATTTCTATTTGTGCAGCCCCAGGGACCAGAGCGTACTGGTAGGGCTACTGTGGCCTACTCGCACGACTGGCGGAGGAAGCCCCCGCCCGAGACATCCTCGAAAGTCCGCCCCGGCGGGGCACTTGGCTGGGGCGTACTATTAGGGCTGCTTTGGCCAGGGCCAGAAAATGCTCAACGCAATGCAACGAAAATGCAATGCAACGCATCGCAGCGCAATGCGATACAATGCGACGCAGTGCCAGGCGAGGCAAAGTAACGCAATGCGCGCCTCGTCGCGTGTCAGCGCCGCGGGAGCACAAGAAGAAACCATCCCGCACCGTTCGTCACATGGCGCTGCCTTGGCGGGGGAAACAATACTATTCCACTCTACCCGTCACGTGGCAGCGCCGCGGTGTCCGAAGACAAGTGCGATTCCACTCGAGTCGCCATGTACAGAATACAGAGGACTCGGAGCATCTGATGGCACTCCACTTCGTGCCGTGAGACGCGGTGGCGGAGCAAGCCTCGACGACGACGACAACGACGACGACGAAGACGATGAGAAGGGCCAGAGGAGCGAACAACGTTACGATCCTCCCCTCCTCATCGCCCTTCTCCTGTGCCCCGTCGTCCTCCCTCCTCCTTCCTCCCTCACTCCTCCCCCTTCCTCACTCCTCCTTCCTCTCCTCCTCTCTACTTCCTTCTGTTCTCCTCCTTCCCTGTCTTCCCCCTCCTCCCCCATTCGGGGGCGGAAAAGAGGGGGGTGATGACTAGGGGGGTGGATATCATGGCGTGGGCCATGATATTTCCCCAGATTTCATGGCGCCTCTTCTTATTTCATTACGTCCCTGGCCCCCCCGCTGGGCCGCGCACATGCCGCCGGTCATGATTTGCATCCCCCCCCCCTTGGACACCCCCCTCTTGGCCGCTCCCGACCCTCGCCCGCAACCTAGTGCAACGCAAAGTACTACAAAAGCAAATGCAACGCAATGCAATGCAACACAATGCAATGCAATGCGCTCCAACGCAATGCATCGCAACGCATTGCACTGCAGCAAGATGCAACGCAATACACTTTACCGCAGCACATCGCAATAATTTGCAACGCAATGCCACGCAATGCAATGTAATGCAATGCCTCTCCCTTCTCCCTCCTCCCCCTCTTCCCGTGCCGGAGAAAGTGTTTGATCACCCGCCGTCCAGGCTTCCCTCCCCCTTCCTAGAGCCATGGCATTTTTATGAATCCCCCACGCCCATGCTGGGAGACGGCGTTGATCCGCAACATGTTGCACATTCCTCACACGGATCGTGCCTTTAGGGCTATCGAATTTGTTTGAACTCTTTGCTTTGTTGAGCCTTTTTATCGAAGTCTTCGAACCCTCCCAAAAGAATAGCCTGGAGAAGGCCCATTCATATGCATTTGTGAGTAGCGCAGTTGTGAGTATCTTCTTTGGTGGAGCTCCCTGTATGGGGCTACGAAACGTATGAGGGGTGTGCCGAAATGGGCGGTGGGGACGCACGTGGGCACCTCCACTGGGGAACGCGCGAGAGGTGGTCCGAAATGGGCTGCGGGCACGCTTGTGGACTGCGCCATTGGGGCCTTCGGTGGAACTCCCCTATATGTGGCCACGAAACGTGTGTGGGGTGTGCCGAAATCGGTAGCGGGGACCCATGTGGGCACCGCCACTGGGGCTTTCTGTGCGGCTCCCTATGGGGCCACGAAACGTGCGAGGAGCGTGCCGACATGGGTGGCGGGACGCATGTGGGCACCGCGACTGAGGCCTTCGGTTGGGCTCCCTATGGGGCCACTGAAAAAGTGGGAGAGGTGTGCCGAAATGGGTGGCGCGAACGCATGCGCGCTGCGCCACTGGGACCTTGGGTGGAGCTCCGATGGGGCTACGAAACGTGTGAGGGGTGTACCGACATCGGCGGCTGGGACGCATGTGGGCTGCGCTGTCTAGACCTTCGGTGGGGCTCCGATCCTATTAGGCCACGAAGCGTGTGAGCTGTGTGTGTGTGCGTGTGTCAAAATGAGAGGCGGGGACGCATGCGGGCTGCGCCACTGGGACATTCGGTAGAAATCCGATGGGGGTCAAGAAACGTGAGAGGGGTGTCCCGACATCGGTGGCGAGGATGCGTGCAGGTTGCGCAAGTGGGACCTTCGGCGGAGCTCCTCTGGGTGTGAGGGGTGTGCCGACATGGGTGGCAGGGACGCAGGCGAGCTGCGCCATTGGAACTGTCGGTGGAGCTCCCTATGGGGCCACGAAAAGTGTGAGGGGCGTGCCGAAATCGGTAGCGGGGACGCATGCGGGCTGCGCCATTGGAACCTCCGGTGGAGCTCCCTATGGGGCCACGAAGCGTGCGAGGCGTGTGCCGAAATTGGTTGCGGGGACGCATGCGGGCTGCGCCACTGGGACACTCGGTAGAGGTCCTATGGGGGGCCACGGAACGTGTGAGGCGTGTGCCAAAATCGGCGGTGGGGACGCATGCGGGCTGCGCCAATGTGACCTTCGCTGGAGCCGCGATGGGGTCACGAAACGTGTGAGGGGTGTATCAAAGTGGGTGGCGGGGACGCATGCGGGTTGAGCAAGTGGGACAATGTGTGTGTGACAAAGTTAGAGGGGTGACGGGAGGAGGGAAGGGGAGGAGGAGGAAGAAGAAAGAGAGGAGACGCGGGGCGCTGCCACTTCAAAACGAGGACCCAACACACTACAGGATGGTTGGGAATTGACCCCCCCACCCGAGGAACTGGAAGGGGGAAACATAGTTATCCTCCAACTCCTCCTGTTTCTCCCCCCACAGTGAAACAATATGACTACTACTCTCCCTCCTTCCTTGATTTTTTTCAGAGAGGCTCTCCCTTCCTTTTTCGCGTGTTGTTTTATGACACGCCGCATCTCAATGTTAATTGTTATTACGTGGACCTCATTTCGGATCGGCGTTTTTCCCCCCGTCATTCAGAATGGCGCTCTCGTCCCAGCACAGGACATACTTTGCATCCAAGAATGTATTCATCGTTGTCGCCCCCTCGAATCCTCTCCTTCCCTCTGCCTTCCCCTGGTAATCCTCTTCCTCCCGATCCGTCCGCTCTAGTTCCTGCTGCTGTTGTTCGCCCTCATCCTGCTCATCCCGCTCACCCTCCTGCTCACCCACCACCTCTTCCTCCTGCGTCAGCAGCTCCCAAATTTCCCATTGCGCATAACACGAAGATGCCTTTCTTTGAGAGTCGCAGGGCGGCTATGACACGCGTTCGCCGCGCCCGCGGATAGAGAGGAATCTGCGCCAGGGGAAGGGATGGGAGGGAGGGATATGAAGTCCGATTGGGCGCGAGCGCACCTAGCTTGCCTCCCCCCCTCCTGCCACTCCCCACCCCCTCCGCCTTCCGTCCCCAGACATCCGACGTCGTGACGTGTTGCTCAGCGTGGCTCCCTCGGTGACCAGGGTGACCAGTCTGTCTCGAGACGGGAGGTCCTTGGCCGATGTCGGGAGGTCCTTGGCCGATGTCGGGAGGTTGTTGGCCGATGGCGGCCTCTGGGGGGCCTCTGGTCACCCTCGGCGGCTGTCTTTGTAACGACACGGGGCCCCGCGAGGGCCCCCCCGGAGGCCGACCATCGGCCAAGGACCTCCCAGTCGCGACTCCTTTCACGACGCGAGTGGGCCTGGGCCCCTCCGCTCGGACGAGCGGCTTTCGGGAGAGGGGGGGGGGGGGCAATCCCACCCCTTGAACGAAGGATTGCAAAAAAACCCAGGATTGCAAAGGATTGCAAAAAACCCTGGGTTTTTTTGCAATCCTTCGAATCCTTCGAATGATTGCAAAAAACAACCCTGTTTTTTTTGCAATCCTGGGTTTTTTTTGGCAATCCTTCGAGTCGCCCCCGGGCTTTCGGGCCACGATTCGTTTCTCCGGCGGCCTTGAGGTGGCGATGCGGGTTCCCCCGGAACGCTCTCGGCGAGGCGCGGCTGCCCGAAAGAGCACCTCGAGGCTGGACAACGGCCGAGAACTGGCGGAAACGTTCGAACGTGTGGAGCCTGGACGAACCCGAAACGTCTGGAGCCGTCGCCGAGGTGGCCCGCCTGCTCGACGAGGCGGGCGGCCCGCACTCGCGGTGGGCCGCCGTGCGGCAACCGGACGGAACCGTGTCGCTGCTGGCCCCGGACCGCGCCGCGCCGCCGCTGAGCTGGTCGGCGCTTCGCTTGCGCGCGCGTCGGGGGGCCATCCCAAGACCTCGTCGAGAAGAGATCACGGCGGAAGGTGTTCGACAGTGTTCGGGCTCTGGGTGCCTTCACCGGGCCGCCAGACCGTCGAAAAACAATCGGGAATCAATTGTCGGTCCTGGGAAATGGATCCAGACCTCTGAGGGTGCACGTCACGGAAAACTCATGATGTCGGGGGGCCGTCTGCCTGCTTGCTGGTGCTGCTCTCCCTCCTCCTGGTTGCGGGATGCGGCGGGGGGCAAGGACAGGAAAAGGTACCGCTACCGCTACGCGCCCCTCGTCGCCACGGTTGGAATTGCCTCGAGATCCTGGCAAGAGCGCGCCCTGGGAGAAGTCTGGGAAGCACCGTTATCGGTACCATTTCGTTCCCCCCACGGGGGGAGGATGAGGGGCAGGGGGTACTGGGAGAGATGGCGGAGATGGGGGAGGAGCGAGGATGAGGAGGAGGAGGAGGAGGAGGATGAGGAGGAGGAGGAC